GCACCTCACCCATCCCCGCCCCACACGGTAGGATAGTCCCTCCAAAAATAGGGCGCGCGCGGGGCGGGCCAGCGCGGGGGCCCGGCGCTACTGTGGGAAGCAAAGCACTAGGGCAGCAGCGGGCGAGACAAACAGAGCAAAGCCCGTCCCGTCCGGGGCGCTTCCGTCATGTCGACCGCCGCCTCCTCCCTCGTCATCCACCTTCAGTGCGGGCGGCGGAAACCAATATACCTCCTCCTTCCTTCCGCCACCAGCAACGCTACAAAATGTGGCCGGCCCGAACAGTACTAGGCCGCGTGCTTATTCCCTCCCAGGGCAGCCCATCACCATCACCAGCCCGGGCAGAACAAGGAGTGCGCGCGCTGGGCCTCGGGGCCGCGCCGGGCTTTGCCGCTCGCGGGCGTAAACAAACCTCTTTGGGCGGTGGCTGACCCCGCCGCTGACCCCCTCTTCAGAGCCCCTATGCCCTGCCTCTGGTCCCATTTCGTCCCGCTCCGCGCATTCTGCGAGCGGGCAGGACTAACTATTCACTGCAGATGGGATGTGTGGTCGGCCACGGGGAACACACACACATACCTTTTTCTCCGCCTTTCACCGTCGGCTGAATTATTTCTTGCGGTTTCCTGGCTGCCGAGCGCGTGGTGCAGGGTCCCGGGCGCTCCCCGCGCTCAGCAACCGACCAGCGCACACCTCACTACTTGTACCTCATTTTCTTCGCTCCTCCCGCTCGCGATCAATGCGTCATCGCACCCCCGCGCGCCTGCACGCCTCCCCTACCACCCCCGCAGGTGAGGAGAGCGGGACGGAGCCGTCCGTGACGTGTGCCGGGGCCGAAAGCTGTTCCCGAGACATACACTATTGCCCTCGCCGCTGACGGCTGGCCGATCCCCCAGCAGCGTCAGCGTCCCTTCTCGCGGGCGCACAGCAGGCGTAGGAAGGCAAGGCAATGGTCGAGGTTAGCGGGCAGCTTCGAGCTCCCCGTCGCGCTTTCGTCTCTGCTCGCTCCAGCATCTAGCATCAGCAGCAGGACGAGGCCGCTCCGCTCCGTGTTTGGGCGTGCCGCCTGGGAGGTAGGCCGTCCCGTTGCACCGGCCTGCTCGACGGGACGGCCTACGCCGCAGGCGCCCTGGGCCGCGCGATCGCTCGCTCAGCAGCTCGGTGACGCGTC